GCGACAAATTTTTCAAGCGTGTTGATTGGCTTCAAGATAGAAAAGTTTTCGGGTATCTAGAAATTTTTTAGCTTGTAACGAATCAACACGCTTAAAAAATTTGTCGTACGATAAAGGTAATAGTACCCTTACGTGTCGCGGTACGTAAAAAAACGGCCAAGTTCCATATTGACTTGTTTGAAATTTGGTTAAAGACAACGAACTAGTGAGCGAAAAAGCCCGACGCACGAACTGCGAGCGTTGACCCATTATTCCACAATGCCATGCCCGAAGTCGACGATGGTTTGTCCCCAATATCTGTTTGCAATTCTCGACCAAGCCGAGTACCATCAGCGCTCGTTCGAGAAGCATAGATATCGTGCTTCCAGCGTATTGACACCGTCGCCAGCCAGCCTGGTAGGGAATTCAAACAAGTATCGGACAAGTAACGGTCCGTAAAAAAGGCAATCTATCGCAATCGGCATGTTGCCGCATGATCGAATTCTTCGGATGTAAAAGAAGCCGCAGATAATGATTTTGTGCCAAGGACGTGCCTTTTAAAACTTTACAAACGGAGCGAAGAACGTTGAAACAGTGGATCGCGAGTGAATGATTATTAGCTTTGCGAAATAACGGATTCAGTTTTAAAATAATTGTTTGCGTATATATTTTGGAGAGAGCTTTTATACAATTTTGCAGTGACAAAAGGAGGATATAAAAAAAACAGATAATTATTTTCAGATATCCGTACTATTCGATATTCCCTTTATTGGATACATTCGATATCTTGATTGAATAATTTTGCCGTTTCGTTAATTTTTCATGCACGAGACGGCTCGCTGGCGCTCGCCCGACAGAATTGATGTTTCACGCGAGCTTGTTATCCTGGACATTAGTAGTCTGCGAATGATCGATTCATACGCCACAAATATTGGATATCTCGCGCGAGGGTATCTCGGTGTCATCGCCAGTCGGGTAGGAAGGGAGGAGGGGACGACAAGACGCTACACGTCGGAGATTATTCCCTGGATAGCGTCGAGTGAGAGAGTGCCGTGGTTTCATATTTATTCCTGCCGTGCGGTGCGCCCGGGCCTTTGTCCCTGCTTCTGTAAAGTCAGTCGGGAACTCCGCGCCCTCGTCCACATAAATCAACGAGGAGGGGGAGAGAGTGAGAGAGAGAGAGAGAGAGAGCTAGCTCACTTGCCTTTCACGCTCCTTTCCCGCTCGTCAAAGAGCTCGCAATTCACCCTTTTTCTCGCCCCAGTCATCGGCGCGTCCCCGCTCGCTCGTGCTTCTTCCTCTTTCATTATGTAAGCACGGCTAATTATGCATGCTTCGTTTTGCTTATTCCGATTAAACCTTTCTCTACTCGGCCCCTATCGCCATCGCGGAGTCGCTTCATCTCTACTTCCGTTACCAGGCTCGGCTTTCCGGGCCACTTTAGTCGAGTGCCGGATAATTTCCTGATAAGGTGATTGTTCCCTCAAGTGGACCAGGCATCCTTCAACGCAACGAGAGCTAGGATATTCATGGAATATTTGCCGGAACAAAGAACGCTACGTCTTTTTCAAAGTTTTAATTTTATGTTTATGAGAAATCTCGAAGGAAAAGTAATCATTACCAGGGAACTTAAATATTGCATAATATTTAAGTTTAATATCGAGTTCAAAAAATTTCATAAAACGCAGTATGAAATGTTACAAGCTAGTAAAACCGCCAGTGTCAAGTCTACGTTTATTAATACGATTAGTAATTACGCGCAGGCGTCGAATCGCGAAACAACGAGTATCTAATCTCTCCGACACGTGTAACGTCTTTCAACAAATGGGATTATATCGAATCACATTACCCGCATGTAAATGACATTACGACATCGCCGCGGCGTAATAACGTAGGCCGCCGTCGCGCTTGATACGCAGGTACTTCCACTCGCTCTGTACATCTTATTGCGGATGTGTGTTTCAGCCCGACAACTCGAACAAGAGCCAGGTAACGCTTCGCAATGTCGACTTCGGCCTCTCGGGTACATTCATCTGCGAAGTTACGGCAGACGCGCCGACCTTCTCCACGGCCTCCGTCTCGAAGAATCTCACCGTAGTATGTAAGTACATGCCCTACGGTATTACCCGGTATCACGAAACTCCGCACCATGCACAAGGCAGACTGCCACTCTTCCGTTATCCAGGGCCCATGGCTTTACGCACGAGCGAATTACGACATTACGACGAGTGCCTTGGAAGTCGGGAGTTTTATTTTCATTACACCACGTCAGATAAGCATACGCGAGCGGGTGCTTAATTGCAATGATTCTAACTGTCTCGCGGTATCTTTGAACGAATGTCGAGGTACGAGATTAAATTTTTAGTTAACCGCGGAGAACTAATTTTTCCCACAAAGTATTAAAGTTGCAATGCAGCTCTGTAATGAACGGTTAAAAATTGCACAATTGTTTCGCGAATCTTTCTTGTGGATTATTTTTGAAATTTTTAATTTGTGTGCACATGTACATGATATGCGCACGCACGCACGCGCACGTGCGTTCGCACAAAACCGAGCCAGCAGCAGTAATATTTTTTTAATTTCAATTGAAAAAGCTAAAAAGGTTCGGTTATAATGTTCTTCAGTTTCTATGATCAGTGAATATGATAATTTTATACAATTACGCGCGATACATAATTAGCATTTATTTAATTATTACTGGCGTAAATGCTTTCATATATTTTCTTTAAACCGCGTATTTTCACGTGAATTTTTCTCTGGGAGCAGTTGACCCATGGAAATGTTTCGTTTATTCAGTTGTATTAAAAACCGAGGTCTTGCTTCGTTTTATGCATACAGCTGTCTTTTTCTCAAATGGAATGAAATATATGAGAAAGTAGTTTCGGTATTTTTACGATATTATAGTTTCTAATTCATAAATTTCAACAAACAATCACCATCGTTTTCTATTTATCTCTAACAGTCCAAATTGAAATATGTTCAATTTTTTTACAATTTCATCTCTTATTGCGAGACATTGTATTATTTGAATTTGTATATTTAATAAATTAATGTGTAAAAAAAACTATTACAAAATCAATTTTCGAAACTTTTAGTGTACTACACTTTTATTTTATTATTGTGGTTCTCTGATTTCAGTGTAGTTTTATTTGAAAAATAGTAACACGTTAAACATTTTTTTTAGTTTGTTAAGACGAAAAACGGTAATACGATAAATATTTTTTTTAATTGTGCAATAGAAGTATTGTTCAACTGTTAATAGTTAAAAAAGTAATTCAATTTAATATGTGTGCAGACAATTATATCGAGCAGTGAAATCACGCGGTGACATTATTTGTGCTAATTTTTCCCTCGACAATTCATATTCAACGTTGCAACGTCGTAAGAATTGAAGTACTCAAAGAGATATGCATATCCCTATAGTACAGCTGGCGATGAAAGTTCCTTCGTCGTCTTTATTAACTCTGTCGCGTTTGATCCGTCTATCGATTCTGATCCGTGTGTCGTCCTCTTTGTCGCTGAATTCATATGAGTTCATTCGTTCAATATATATCTGACCGAACAGTATTCGGTGTAACTTCATTCTGATCTGCATGTATCGTGCGAGAATTTGAGATTTTACTCATAAATATATTTAAAGAATGCCCGTATCAGACTACGGGTTGAGATTGAGATTAGATTGAAATTTGACCAATCAGAGTGAAGCTTACTAATCCCAAGTTTATGAATGTCACTATGATTAGTCAAATTTCAATCTAATCTCAATCTCAATCCGTAGTCTGACTTTACAAATGTTGTTTATACATTGTTATAAATTTGGTACATTTAAAAACTCGACTCCGGGACAGTGCGAGAAACTGTGATTAGCGAAAATCCACTTCGGAGAATCACTTACGGTGCGCGGAATTAGAAGTTTTGTCGTTCATTAAGGAAATTAGTTTATCATTCCAGCGTCATCAGCATGGATGTAATTTATCGCATGAAATTTAAAAGTTAAACTCGCGTAATTAAAAGTACGTCGCTTTGCATTCTATTGATAATCGTGTCGCAAACTCAATAAAGTGAATTCCAAATCGCTCATTTAACTTACAAGTGACGGATTCCATAACGCGAATTAATTAATCAAGTTGTTTATCATGTAGCGTGTGAATGTTGCAAAATATTGCCTATTGAAATACGTCGTTGTAATAATATAATCATACACGTTAGGTATTTATAAAATCACTAATATTATTAAAGTAAGCGCCCGTTTGATCCGATAAATATAATACTTTTGTAAAATTTTGCAGTAACAATATTATCGATAAAAAGAAAGTGATAAGAATCTAAAACATAGTTAATGGCGCATACATTGTTTGATATTTATTCATTACTAAATATCTTATTTGTATTAACAAGATGAATGTCTAGAATAGTGGACGATGTTTTCTCACAAGATTATTAAAAAAATTCCTTAAATCACACGTATATGTTGGATAACTTTGGAAAATCAATGTGGTTGCTTCCAAACACTTAATTGTTTACTTTTTTTATTTTCAGCGAACATTATTTCGAGATTGTTGATCTATTTTCGAACTTGTCGTATTAGTTGAGCGTCGCTAGACTAACCGATTAGATTTACGAACACCTGGGAATTCTCACTTTGGCGTTTGCGTTATTGGATTTAAGGGACTCGCGATTTATTCAAAGATGAGCGACTACGAGATAGTAATTTCGCCATATATCTGTCCGCTGAGCTCTTTAAATCTTCCTGCTATAAGTTACCAGCATTGTCGGGACTACTAGATGCTTTCTATAATCCTCTTCTTCCCGTAAACTCGCGGGAAATCGAAGATTTCGCGATGCGATGTAGCATTAGGGGACGCGCGAATTGTACGTCACGGAGACACGTTTTGCAAGGCAAAAATCGAGACTCCCGAAGCACAGTTAAAAACTTTCACGCGTATATGTTTGCACAGTTGCATCCTTTATGCTACGCATAAAGCTCGTAACGCACGGAACCTGTTCTCCCGTTGGACTTTTTGTATGCTGCTGCGCGTGCTACATTATTTGCCGTCGCACTGCTGTGCTTGTTACAAATTGTTACATAACAGAACATTATCACAGAAATGGCAAAGTCGAAACATAAAGAGATGCAGATTTCTCAGAACTTTTAATTTGCTGTAATTTAATTAGTGAAGCATTTACAGTATACTGTTAATCGATAGCGTTTTGTTATGCTTATATTATCGCTTCTGCTGAAATTTTTAATTATTTATAAACGGCTTCTGAAATCAGCTTAAATATATTCCGCAGAGTTAAATATTGTTCGAAATATTTGTTTGTACACACATGCTTTAATGCAATAGTTTTTTTTCCAATAAAAGTATAAATATCAAAAATCATAAAAGAATTTTCTACGTCGTTTAAAGGTTGTATGAGCAATCAAAATGGCTCGTATAGATACTACCGTAGGATTTATTTTCACGTAGCCTTTCACGTAACCAAATCATCAAATATATTTCTTATATCGATATATCGTCCGTTCTATTTCTATTAAATTACTTACTGTAAGAAATAAACTTTCTGCAATTTTTATTTACTAAGTACATGCATAAAAGTTACAAATACATGCAAATACTTCTTGTATGTGGCTACGACATTCATTTTTTTTTCAAAATTAAATAACTGTATTCTTTTTGCGCCTGCATATATTCTGCTTCGGTTAGCGGAAAATGATTCAATATTTTTATTATATTCAAGAATTTTATTTGCCGACGCGCGCGCGCTGCATATTTGTTTTATTTTTTCTAGCTAGGAGGTTTAATAAACGTTGCGTATACAATTTTAGCTTTTTTATGATGTGACGAAATTCTATATTAATTAGAAACAGTGTTATTATACGTAAAAGGGTTTTGTTTGGTTCAGTATCACAATATATTTTACTCGTGTATTATGGTTATATACGGTTATTCTTGAAATTCGTTTGCATTTCGGAAAACATACAGGTATACAGATATGTGGTTTTTTTTAGATTTATGGGCAACAATTTTGCCACTATTTTTCCGACAAATATTATGCGATGAATTCGGGCGATGAAAATGACGTATTATTTTTCTTATAGCGGCTAGACTAGGGATTTGGGTGAAAAGTTGTTTGAATAGAATTTATTTATGTCGAAATTACGAAACAGTTATTGGAACATGTGCTATCATTTCCCGTTTCGGAAGAAGAAAAATTTATTTCGCAATTCGATATCGAAAGGATTCGATGGACGGTCTGTAACGTCTTAAAGTGCGACGGTTACGGTTCTGCGTAGGATGCTGGAAAAATGCTTAAATATCAGAAATTCTCTGCTTCCTCGTCTCTCTTGCGTCTCTTGCGCAAAACGGTAGCGAAATGCTGAGTTCGGCAGTGTATTTCACGTTCTGCAATAATAATAACATCAATTGCGCACAATGCGCGTTGAAATGAAAAATAATTTGCAATTGCGTAACGTATTCGATTGGTGGACGCAATCGTGTAATATGATTTAGTCATCTATGCGCCTAATACTTGTGTAAATTTGAATTAATATGAGTGTAACATTGTGCACACTGTCCCTTGATAGAGTGGTATATAGTAATAGCAAAGTCGCATAAACTCGTGAAACGGTATTACTGAACGGTATTACCGAACTATACGCGAGCATTGTACCGCAAGTGTACACAACATCGTCAGTAATACAGTGTGCACTCCATCACTTCATTATTTTATATCCGAGCTATGCTATTTCTAGAAAGCATTCCATCAGAAAGAAAATTCTCCGGAAACTTTATTAGGAATGAAACGTTGGATCCTTTGAAATTACGCAACGCTGGTAGGTAAAGCAATTCAGATTTTTTTTTATATATAATCGCGTTATAGCCAGATGTGTGATGTGTATGTCGTCTTGAAAATCGCGTCTTTCGTCTGGGCGGCGAGTTTTTAATATTTATTTAGTTCGCAACGAATCCCAAGACAATGTTTTTCTAATAATTGAGGAAGCAACATTTCTCACATAATTTCTAAATTCTTAAGATTTAATATCTCAGCCATTAAGTTTGCAAGCTAAACTCGTGCTAAAAGTAGAACTTCCTTATA